ATCTTAACCACTATCACCTATCAATACAAGGTTAGCAAATCAAATCCATGTTCTTTGGGAGAAAGACTTTGCAATCTGCTTCCATAAAGATTACAATCAAGAAAACCCTTTTGGGAGATTCTAACCTGCCACATGGGATCATTAAGTCAGGATTGAAAGACTTGTGTTACCGGTATTGTTGTCAATCGAAACTGTTGTAAATAGCGAAAAGGTCTATCTGAGGTTTAGAAGTCCTCATTCATTTCTATGTGTTGAAGGTAAAAATTCCCCAATTTAAAAATAGAAGCAATGTAATGTGAATATTTTAAACTATGTGATTTCTTGCTCATGTTAAATTTGGAAAAAGTAGAAATAAAGAGAATTGCAAAGACAACCTACTATAGTTGCTTGAGGTTTGGTTTTTTAAAAAATTATAGCAAACTGGTGATGTGTGCCCTCCTGGTTGGTCAGACATCTGCACAGAAGAACATTTAAGGAATTCCGATATTCATAATATTTTGAGCTGATTTTTATTTTAACATCTTTGTCATTTAACAATATTTTTAAAAAAACTCTGTTTCAGTGTGAAATGCTTGATGTTTCCAAAGTATTGCTCTACGTATTTCCTGGAAGAATGATATGAGAAATGTTTTCAAAAAATATTTAACAGACAAAGGGGCAGATGAAGAAATAAAAACAATTATCATTAAATTTAACATATCCTTTCTAGCAATTTACATGTGCAAATCGTAATTAATAATAAATGTCTATTTGGTGTACATAGTTTCATTAGTCAAACATAAAGCAAGACACAAATTTTACAGAGTTTAGATCATTTCACACAATGAAAATGATAACTCCATGTTACAGAAACATTTACATATATACTTTATTCAATAATGGCAATATACTTATAGCTGTAAGAAATGACAATACTTTTCAATTATTACATTTATTATAAACAACTCCAATTTAATTAGCTAAGAAAACAATGAACATGGTGACCATTATTTTAATTCAGAAAGACAATAATAATACAGGTGTATTTGTATGCATATGTATATATTTATATGTATTTATTATTGTACATGGAAATCGTCTTTGAAAGGGAGTAAGGTAGGCATATTGCCATGTATTTATGTTATCAGTGTGCCTTTTAGAACTAAACAGTTTGAAACTGTAGACTGCTAAGCATTAGAGGAAGCAGAGTTGTTCAATTAGTTCAAATAAATATGCCTTGGAAAGGGTGCAGCCAGAATGCTCTTTGGAGGCAAGAATGATGAGGTTTTGCCTCACATACTTTGGGCATGTTGCTAGGAAGGACATGTTGCTTGGAGAGGGACATGATGTTTGGAAGTGTGGAGGGTCAGCGAAGGAGAGGAAGACCCTCAAGCAGCTGGACTGACCCAAGGACTGCCTCAGTGGGCTTTAGTGTGTCAGGAATTATGAAGATTGCACAGGGTAGGACAGGTTTCAATCAACTGTTCATAAGGTCACTGTGAGTCGTACTTCATTTGATGGCACCTAACAACAGCAACAACAACAATGAACACTGGTTACCTCAAAAAAATTAACACGTTCCATTGCACAGTATATAAATTAGAAGACTGTAAATTTTAGGTCTATGTTTCTAAACTAAATTTGGGGAAATCCCTGAAGTGTGCAGGAGAAACCACAATTATGGCTCATCAGTAAATGTTTCACTGAGACCAGCCTCACAAGCTGTCTCTTTTCTCAGCAACCACAATGCTCTTATCATTGGACTTTCCTCTGGTCACTCCCTCCCCACTCCTTTACAACTGATTTCTCCTGAATAAACTACAAACGAAAATACATAATCCCGGTTCCTAGCCTGCCACCATTGGGGTGGGAAAACACAGATGGAGAATCATCGTTGAATAGACATGAAAATGCAATATCCTTGTGTTTTATTCTTGAGTGTTTTTTGATAATTTAAGATTATAATTCCTTTTTGTTACAACCAACATCTTTCTTGTTCTAAAAATTCTCAAAAAAAAGTACAGTAAAACACACATAATCTAAGCAAGACCTGAAGCAGTTAAAAACTCCACATTAGTTTTGTTTTGGAAAGAATAAAGCTAATTATGCTGTCCCTAATGTTACAAATGGAACAAAAAAAATCTGTAGGTTTCAATCCCATGATTTATGGTTTGAATGCGAATACAACACTAAAATAGCTATAATCTGGAACATTTTCAATAGTTTAGTAGACTGTCTTCTAAGAATCTAGCTTGATCAAAGTTTTCTTCTTCAGCTGTAAAGGGGGGAAAGACATAAAATGAAAATGTATCCTATATTTCAAAAGGAGAAAGTGTAAGATAATCAGAATCTCAGGAAATAAACATTCAGTCCTCAAGATATAACAATGTTGTGTTAACAAAACAAATTAAGTTAATTTACATAAGCTACTTCTGAAAGTCCAAGAAAGTTGGATCATGACTGATTTATTCCCTTATCGGTTTGGGACACAATATGGCATTTCACACATTAACATCTGTATTCTCATAAAAGATGAAACTGTGGCACGGTGTGTTTGGTAGAAATCTGAGAGGACTATGAGACATGCCTTAAATATCCACCATCAGACTTATCTTCTTGCATCAAGGTACTGTCTGTCTAGAAATTTCCTTCCTAAAGAAGAGGTCCAGATACATCTTCTATGATAAAGATGGCATAGCAACAGTTTTTCAAATACTCCCTTATTTGGTGAGCTCATGTTCCGAGGAGGGAGCTCTGGTGTGGCCTAGCAGTTAGGTATTGCACTGCCAACCCAAAGCATACAGTTCAAATCCACCAGCCGCTCCATGGGAGAAAGGTAGTCCTGTGAGGTTTGGAGGGTCAGCTATGAGTTGGTTTTGACTCAACAGTACAGAATAAGTATGAGGAAGATTTAAGATGAGATTGCAAAGCATGAGCTAAGGCAAAGACAGCTAAAGAAAGAGAAAACAGTAAATTGCCAGGACAAGTAAAGACAGAAGGATCTAGTAAAAAAGGACTAGAAATAGGAGGAGGCCAGAGGCAAATCCATCTCCTTTTCATTTTCTCCAATATCCTCATTGAATGAAAACACATTCCTTTAGTTACAATAGTTATATTTTAAATCAAACTGCAAACACATTTGGCACATTACAGGAAATAATCTTCTCTTTGAAAAAAAAATTTGATTTTTACAAACTTCTCCTTGGAGGTGAGGATTCTGAAGTTCCATGTCACATACTTTGGGAACATGGGCAAGAGGGACCAGTTCTTGAAAAAGGACATCACACTTAGAAGGGTGAGAAGGGACTGCACAGGAGGAAGTCCTGATGAAATAGATTGACATGGAAACTGGGGCAAAGGGTAAGGTGTGTCAGAGTCAGTGAGACTGGCCCAGGATAGGGCCAGCTTCAGAACTATTGTGGATAGGGTCATTATAAGTCGTGGGAAACTCGATGGTGCATAACTACAACAACAAGGCTTACAGAAAGGCTGGGTTTTCATTCATTCATTCATTGTTGTACATTTTCCATCCTCTCCCTCCTTCTCCCCCTCCCCTCTGGAACAAAAGGTGCATAATAAAATGACCTTCTCTTTAAAGGAAAGAGAAAAATACTCAACAAGAAAGGCATCCCTTTAAGAACTCAACTGAAATAAAAATCTACTATATAAAATAAGAGCATCTCAAATAATAGTCTAGGGACAAAAGAATTTAAATGTTACATTTCAAAGACACTAGAAGTTTTGTAAACCAAAACATTTAATTTAGACTAGTAAAATGTAAGTGCCTTCTCCCATTGCTGAGAAAAACCACCTAGAAAGCTTCAATAATTTGCACAGTCTTGGAAAGCCAATGATGCCGTTCTGCTTAGTTGTAGGGCCACTACGAATCAGAATGGACTCAGTTGCTGTAACCTGGGTTTAGCTCCAACACAATGCAATGAGTTAGACAATAGTCTGAGCACTTGTGAAGACCTTGTGCATTTGGATGGGGATGTGCTTATATGTGTGGGTAACAGGAATTATCCACATTTTATAGATGAAAAAGTGGAGGCTCAGGAATTAAGTAACTTGCCCATTATCATCTTCTTTCATCACATCATCTCTCTGATGAAATGCACAGGGAACACTTATTCATACCCATGTGAAGAACAAATTTCCTTCTTCTGGTCTTCATTCCTGGTCTACCATGTGTCTGCTACTTGATGGCAAGCAAACTACTTAATTAGGGTTTCTAAGGTTGTAATCTTTCCAGAAGCAGACCACCCCATCATTCTCTTACCAAGTTGTGAGCTCACTCGTTAACCACTTTGCCATCAGGGATCATTACATTATAGTAAATATTGTTGTTTTTATTGTAATATGCTATCCAGTCAACTACTTACAGAGAGTAATACCTCTGAACTCTTCTCTATTTTGAACCAATCTCACTGTCTCTGACACACCTGCCCCCATTGTCACAGCCACAGCGTCAATCCATCTCACCCAGAGTCTTCCTCTGCTGCACTAATCCTCCACCCTTCCAAGCATTAAGTCCTTCTCCAAGAACTGGTCCCTTCTGGCCTCATGCCCAAAGCTATGTGAGCTAGAGTTTAAAAATCCTGGCCTCAGGACAGACGTATTTGTTCTCTTGGAAGCCTGTGGTATGTTCAATACTCTTCTCCAACACCTGAATTCAAAGACATTACTTCTTCTTCTGCTATCCTTAGTGACTGTCCAACTCTCAGATGTATAGCAAGTAATAAGAAGACCATGGCCTTGATAAGGTTCACCCTAGTCTCTAGACTGACATCATTGCTCATTAGCATGCTAAAGAAGTCCCTGATGCCAGACTTTCTCAATGTAATTTGTCTTTTGATTTCCTGACTGCTGGTGCCACAAGTGTTGATTGTGGATCCAACTAAGATGAAACTCTTAACAACCTTAATCTCTTCTCCTCTATCATTATATTGCCAATAGTCCTGGTGGTCCTATTATTAACTCCTAGTAGTAGCCCTTGAAGGACTCCTGGTGGTGCTATGGGTAGAGCACTCTGCTGCAAACCAAAGGCGTTCGCACTAACCAGTTGCTCCAAAAGGAGAAAGATGAGGCAGTCAGTCGGCTTCCTTAAAGATTTACAGCCTCAAAAACCCTATTGGCCAATTCTACTCTTGTCTTACAAGGTTGCTATAAGTTGAAATCAGTATGATAGTAGTGAGTTGAAGACACTTATCCCAGAAACCGATCCTACATCTGGTTATTCCATTAGATTGTTGTTGTGTACCGTCAAGTAGGAACCAACCCATAACTGACCCTCCAGTAGATTTTCAGAGGCAGTAAATCACACGGCAGGAGACTGCTCATTTTTATCCTGCAGAGAAGCTGATGGATTCGAACTGTGTACGTTTGGGTTAGCAGTGCAACACATTACCACCAAGCCACCAAAGCTCCCTTTCCATTAAATTTCTTGCCTTATATTTTCACTTCAAAGTCATTCTCAGGATTGCTTTTGCTCAATCTGTTGTTTTCTCTGTGTGCCAAAGATTTCACCCCTAAAAGGCATAAACTCATAAACTTTCCTGAACGTCAGCTTTGTTCTGACTTCAAAAATACTTCTTGAGCATATGCTATTCACTACCACAAGTAATGTTTCCTATAAGCTTGAAGCTGAAGAGTGCTTTCAGTTCTTCACCTTCTATCTCAAATGCTCTGTCACAATACGATGCGTGTTTAGTGCTCACAGCAGTGGCAGGTCATTGGCCTGCATTTTCACTGCCAATCTCTATACTCTTTGCACAATTAAAAATCCAAATTATATTTGTACATATGGCCCCATTTCAATTTTTGAGAGGGATAGTTCCAGGTCGTGTATCATGCTTTATTGTATATACTTTGTTTCTCTCATAGCAACCCTTCCCATAGATATCATCATTCCATCTCATTGACGATGCTACTGAGGCTTGGTGTCGCCCAGCTAGTAAGTGAGTTGGGATTTGAATCCAAGTCTTTTTCATTTAGTTTAACTTGTGATTTTAATACTATATAATAGGGCAATTGTTTGTTTATGAAGATTACACTTAATCTTGGTATAGGCCAACTGTATATTGTTAATGAAAAGGACAGAGATTTAGAAACAGAATAGGTCAATGTTCAAGAGGATGAATCATTTGAAAACTTAAGTTAAAAAAATCTGCAATTTTATTTAGTTCAAATTTTAATAGCAAATAATTGGATTGAAGATTATTTAACCTCTTTGACCTCGGTTTCTTTAGTTAGAAAGTTGGACTTTGAGGATTTTTTCTTTATGTTTACAGTTTGTACAATAAGAAATATAAGTTACTGGAGGCTATTGGAATTGTGAAATTAACAAAAAATTCTCTAGCTTCATCAAAGAAATTTACTTTTATACTCTTGGGAATCACTTAGGTGATTATACTGTCGTTATACTAAATAATTCTGAATTTCTAGAGGGAGCTGTTAATTATTTCTTTTGAGTTTCAATAAATATATCCAACTTTGCTGCATTCCACACAGAATCCCAGAATTAAGCAAAGAAAGCATCTCTGTTTTAGATTTGAAAGAGGTCACTGTACAAGTACCTTCTTGTGCTTTCTGAAAGGAAGCCAATAACAGAGCTGCTGCCTCTGGAAGGATGAGTGGTTGGGCATCAGGGCTTCGTCTTTCTGGAGGAATGAAAAATGACTCACTTCAGCGTTTAGACCCATCAATTCTATTCCATAGTATGATATAATTCTAAAACAATCTAAGAAAAAGATTTTCAATCCCTAACCAAAGTTCCCTTCACAAGAGACTCCTTTTTAGAGACTGAAATATTTCATACTTAATCTGAAAATTATTTACAGTTGTTTATGTCATATTTTATGTGATACGGAACAGAATTTAAACAGTCTACTGGAAAGCATTTCATGAAAGCACGGCCATTTATAAAAAAGACCCAAAGAGAACTTTGCTCCCTTACAGCAACAAAATTTACTTCACAGCAGAACAGTGTCCTCTGCCTCTTACCTCCTCTCACATTCTTTTCAAAAGAGTTTAAGACAATGCTGTACATCCTTGCTCGCATGTTGTTAGCAGTTAGTGGGCTTCATGGTTCACAGAAAGATTTGACCTTTGAAGCATAAGATCTCTTTGGCTGGTTTTCATAACTACAACCCAAAGATTTTCTTCCTATATGCTTTATTCAGCAACTCAAAATCTTTCCATAGTGTCTGAACCGACTTACAGCTCCCCAGCCTGCAGGTTTCCAACATTGCAAATCGCTCTGCAGGAGACTGTGCATTTCCCTCCCCCCCCCCCCCCCCCCCCCCGGAGGATTCAGACCCACAGAGGCGTGGCCTTCGAATTAGCAACACAATTGTTTATGGACTGGGCCTCTAGTCGAACTCCCACTGATAATGTTGCAGCAACGCAGCAGCACCACAAGCCATCACTACCCGTGGTGGCTGCTCTTGAAAGTACCGTTAGTATTGGTCACATTTAATGAGGCCAATTGGCTGAAAGAGTCTCTACTAAGATACTCAGAATGGTTTCAGATCTAAAATGATAAAACACAAAGCATCTTCAGTCAACACAAATCTTGATTTTTTTTTTCATTTGAGGAAACTGAATTAGGGAAATAAATGCTACCCTATGAAGCATCCCTTTCTTCAAGTAATTAAATTTTCTTACAGTGTAATTAAATTCATCAAAATGTTAAGCTTTTGTTTTGGTATTTTTTCAGAGAAAGTCTGCTTTTTTGTTTTTAGCATTTCCCTCCTTAAATGTGTCTCGAAGTTATTTGTGATGTTGTTTTGAAATCCAGTGGTTTATCAAGGGAGGAGGGAAGCCCTCCACTGATCGCCCACCATAGGGAGCTCTTGTGTTAACTAGTGTTAAGAAGTTGCACTGCTTACACTAGGCACGTGGTTCGAATCCACCAGCTGTACCTTGGGAGAAGCGTGGCAAGCTCCACCTGTGCGATGCATCACCTCTGAAAAGCCACTGGAGGGTCTCAGGTGTGAGTCGATTCAGACTCCGTTATACACAACAACCAGTGGTGGCCTAGTCCCGAGAGGAGCTGTGCAGCTAACCTAAAGGTGGCACTTTTCTCGCGGCTTGAATTTGCCAGCGACGCCGCAGGAGTAAAACTGGCTGTCTTTTCCTGTGCTTCAGAAAACCACTGCAGGGTCAGCTATGAGATGACATAGCAATGCACTAACTGGAAGCCCAGGCATCTGCGCATCCTCGGCAGGAATGGAGGGAGTGGGCGGGGAAGAGGAACAGGAGGGGAACTGGGAAGAACGGAGTGCATGCACTCAGCCGCCAGAGGGCGGCCGTGCAGAGCGGCGGCGACCCGCTCGGGGCTGCAACCGCGCTCCGGAAGCAGTGCGGGGCGGAGCGCGCTGCTCGCTCGGGAGCCCGAGGTCCTGCAGCCCTCCAAGTAGAGCTCGCCCCGTAGGGCATCTTCTCAGGGAGGTCCCAGCAGACACGTTCGAGTGGGCCTCCCCCTCCATCCCTTGTCACTCACCCAGTGGCGGCCGGTCTGAGAGGTCTTTCCTCTGGCTCTGGTCGGAGATAAAGCTGCGCCCCTCTGCAAAGGCGAGACAGGGGCTCAGGACCCGTCCCGCGGCTATCAGGGTTTGCACATGGCCGCCTGGCACGCAGGCCCCCAGGCAGTGGCGGTGAGTTGCCTGGCTGAGCCTCAGAAGAGACTAGGAAGCAAACCCGGCACACCTTGCCTCGTGCGCTCTCGGAAGTGCAAAAATATTTGGAACTTACGTGCACCCTTCAGGTAGAGGATAGCTTGTGGTGTCCAGTTTCTTCTCTCCAAAAGTCTCTGCAACCCCGAGAAGAGCAAGTAATTAGAAATTACGACCCAGCCCCCTACAGGAAAAATTAGAAGCAAAAGGGTGGATACAGTCTATTTTCAGAACTCTTTTTGCATTTGGTTACCTGTGGAGCGCTGTTAGAATTTCCCATGAGAGAAAAAATCAGGAAAAGAGCCAGGGTTGTTGGAGCCAGACTTCGAAGCCCCTGCAAAGAAAGTGTAACTAAAGGGACGAGGGTCAGCTCTGTGTCTACAGGCTATTCTACTTCCTTACCTGATGATAATTAGAAACCTTTTTGAGAAGGCGTTTCTCCAGTGCACTTTCTAGAAAAGCCACAAACACTATTTTTAAAAGTTTTTGGAGATTCTTTTCGTTCCCTCAAATGAGAAACGAATGGATTTAGTGACTTTTAAAAATAACTTTTAAAGGAAGTTTTAAAAATAATGTTTTATAATGTAATCAAATTATTCCTTTTTAAAGGCATTGTCTTTAAATGTCCATTAGCGTTTTAAAAAGATTAAGCATAAAATAACAAGTCTGTATGTATGGCTCTCAAGTAAAACTAATCTCTACTTACCTTCATGCCTGCTCCTTTTGAGAACTGCAGTAACTGTTTAAGCTGTGAGTTTTCTAATCCTGTTCCGAAATTGGGGCTTTTAAAATCTTTGTGTTAAAGACCCCTCCCGGGCTGCGCGGGAGTTCAGAGTCCACAGAGACGTCCTGTCATCGTTTGGCATTGAGAAGATTTGATAACTTCTCCAGGGAGATTCATTGCAGGAAGTAGAATGATGATTTATAGGTGAACATAATTTGTTTAGACACTGACCACCTCCTCAGGAGACATTCTGAATATAGCAGCACCCTGATAGATGCTTTCCCATTAGATTCCTCATTAAACACCTGCTAAAACAATTATTGTTGTTGATCAATAATCTCAGGCAGAATCAAAAGTAAATGCAAAAGAATGGCGATGTCTGAACAACACGAGGGACCTGTTTAATGTCATGAGCCATAATACATTGTGATGATGGTTGAAGTGGCAAAGGTTGTGTTTACCACTATATTCGCTGTAACAAAGAATGCCAACAAAATAAATTAATAAAGAAAACTTGTCTGCTCTCAACTGCTGCTGATGGCTAAAGATGAGTCACTCTTACAGAAACAAAAAGGTTAGAGAATCTCAATGGAATTTGAGATCAATCATTCACATGTTTATTCCATTATTTAATATATTCATTGAATGTCTAGTGTCAGAGATTCCCCCTTTTATCTGATTGGACATACCATCAACTAGAAAACACGGTTTCTGCTTTTATCAAGCTTACTGTCTAGTTAGGAAAGAAATATTCTTGAACTAGTAAACAAGTGAAAGTGAGTTATAGAATGTTTTAAATCTAAAATAAAAGTAAGCAAGATGGCATGACAGAGTCAGAAGTGGGATACTTTAGTCATTGTATAATATGAACTTGGAAAAAAAAAGTTATACAAGTGTTCAGGTCTTTCGTTCATAGGGTCACTATAAGTTGTCTACAATTTGGTGGCACTTACAAACAACAACAATAAAAATTGAGTGGTTTCTGTAAAGAGTGTTTGGAGATAACTTTATTAATTGTAGAGAAAAGTTATCTCATATAGTGAGTGCTAGAATATGAGATTTTCAGATTGGATGATACTCAAAACGAACTGCGGAAGAGTCATCTTCATAAGTATAGTGATTTTAGTGATGTGAGTAAAGTAAAATTTTTAGGAAAAAAAATTGAGTGGAATCTTAAAGAATAAGTTGGAAACAAAAAGAGTATAAAGTACCTGGAATGGCAGAAGATAAAGCCTTGAGACAGCAGGTATTTGGATTGATTGACAAATACATAGGAGGCTAATTGAGAGCCCAAATTATATGGCAATAAGCTCAACTCCTTACTGTGGAGTGGGAACCAACTCATAGCTGACGCTTCAGTGGATTTTTCAGAGGCAATAAATCACACAGAGGAGATTGCCCATCTTTCTCTCTCAGAACAGTTAGTTGAACTTACTGTCTTTTGGTTAGCAATGCAGTTCCCTAAACCTAAGGCACCAGTGCTCTTTTGTATGGTGATAAGGGCTTTAAAATTGGGTGGAGAGGAAAAAGATGCCAATTGACAAGGGAATATGGTTATAAGGAAAGGGTAGTAATGTCTTTAGACTTGAGTGATACTTCTCGTTGTGTACTGTCAAGGTGGAGCCAATCCATAGCTGACTCTGCAGCAGCTTTTCGGAGGCAACTTAATCACATGAGAAGAGATTGCCAATCTTTCTCCCACAGAGCAGCTGGTGGATTTGAACTGTGCTTCTGGGATTGCAGCATAACTCCTTACTACTAAGCCACCAGAGCTCTCTAGATACTAGAAAGAAAGAAAAAAGTATATTGATCTGGAATCAGAACTGACTCATAGCATGAGTTTTGGAGGGTGTAAATCACACAGGAGGAGACTGTCCACCTTTCTCACATGGGATCCCTTATGGATTAGAGTTGCCATAAAGACAAGGCTTTTGGGTTATCAGCAAAACTCCCTATGGACTATTGTAAACTATTTTGGGAGTAGAAAAAGACATGATTAGGTAAACGAAATCAAAGAATATGAAAGAAACATAAAGGGTGACTGATAGTTCTTGTTTCAAAATTGGGTGAAAATGAAGCCATTAATGAAACTGGTGAGCCTTCATGAAGAACCATTGTTGTTGTTGTTGTTGTTGTTATGTGCCATCGAGTTGCCTGTGACTCATAGTAAACCTTAGTACAACAATTCTGAACCCTGCCCCGTCCTGAGCCAGTCTCACTAATTCTGACACATCAACCCCCATTGCCCCAGTTACTATATCAATCCATCTCATGAGAGTCTTCCTCTCCTGTGCTGTCCCTCCACCCTTCCAAGCATGGTGTACTCCAATGACCAGTTTCTTCTGGCCACATGGCCAAAATATGTGAGACAGAGCTTCAAAATCCTAGCCTCCAAGGATAAATTTTATTTCACCCTCTCCAAGACAGACCTATTTGTTTTCCTGGCAGTCCATGATATATACAAAACTCTCTCCAGCACCACAATTCAAAGGCATTGATTATTCTTCTGTCATCCTTAGTTATTGTCCAGCTCTCTGATGCATAGCAAGTAATTGGAAAGACCATGGCCTGAATCAGACACACCTTACTCCTCAAACTGGCTCCAACTTCAAGTAGTTGAATTCTGGAAGATAAATTTTTTTTTTTTATTATAAGAAAGCTGGGTGTAAACTGTTCGTTTTTTATTTGGTTGACAACCAAGTGTAAGCTGATTGGCTGTTTGTGATTTCATTATCAATCAGCTGTTGGCTAGAAACCTCTATTTTAAATATTCAGGACCTGAGGAGAACATTGTTCTAAGTTGTACAGCACTTGTCTGTCAGTTCACTGTACTGTGATAACTTTGGGTTGCTGTGAGACTGAAATCTGTGCCACTAGTGTGTCAAATGCCATTTAGGTTACATTTGAAGCAAGATTGGTCATGCACTTCTGAAATAACAAGCCTCTGAACAATAGAGGGATATAATATTAGAGGTAAAGCCCAGATTAGAAGTCACTCAAAATGAGGAGAAACAGCTACAAGCGTCCTTTAATAATTTTTTTGTGAAATGTGTGAAGAGTGAATGTAAGAAACCAGGAAGTTGTAAAAAATGAAACAGAATGCATGAAAATCATTCTAGGTATTAGTGAACTGAAACTGACTAGCATGAGTCACTTAAATTTAGACAACTATACGATCTATTATTATACAGGGAGTGCAAAACTGAGGAAGAATGGTGTTGCATTCATAGTGAAAAAGAGAACTTCAAGAACTATCTTAAAGAACCATGTTTCAGTGATAGGATATTATCCATACATATATACAATCAAGACCTGTTAATACAACTACTATTCAAGTATATGCACCAACAACTAATGTCAAAGAACAGGCAACTGAGGATTTCAGCCGACTTTAGTGACCTGAAATTGACCAAATATGCAATCAAGATCTGTTAATGATTATTGGTGATGAGAATGCAAAATAATGAAGAAAGGATGGTAGTTAGAAAGTTCAGTCTTGGTGACAGAAATAGCACTGGACTTTAAATAACTGAATTTTTTGTGTTCAATGATTTATTCATCATAAATATCTTATAAAACACAATCTATGGCTTTACACACGGTTTCCACTTGTTGGACTGAACAGGAATTATATTGACTACATCTGTGTACAGATGTTGCCCTGGATGTGCTCACCAAGTTGTGCCAAGAAATATGGAGAACAACCACTTGGCCAACTGACTGAAAGAGATCTATATTTGTTCCCATTCCAAAGA